GGCTCGCGAGCTAATCGAGCTTCTACATATATGTATACATACATATATTACACACACAACACACATATGTATGTGTGTGTGTAATAATAATAATAATAATAATAATAATAATAATAATAATAATAATAATAATAATAATAATAATAATAATAATTATAATAAATTTAAAAATATTATAGATATAGAAAATCATATATATATACATACACATTTGTGTATATATTAAATATTTTTATTTTTTTATATAATAATAAGAACTATTTATTATAATTCTTAATTTTTTAAATATCAAATAAAAATAATTCTTATATATAATTTTTTATTTTTATAAAACATTTAGCTTACAGTCAAGCTCGAGCCAAGCTGAGCTCAAGCTTACGAGCTTTTGACTCGAGTTGAACTCAAACTTAAGTCTCTTGCTTGAACTGAGCTCGAGCCTCATACTTTCTTAGCGAATAGAGCTCAAATAGCTAGTTATTTGGCTTGGCTCAACTTGAATCCACCCCTAAGTCCGAGAAATGTTCTGGACTCTAGGAAAAGAATTTTCGAAAGGGGAAATGGTGTGGTACCGATATTCACATCTATCACTAGTCTTCAAATTCAGTTCTAACAATCTTTGTAGCTCTTACAAAGATTACATACTTTTTTTCATAGTAGCATTCTAAAATTTCTCAGCATTACATAATCTTTGAACACCATGCTTTTTTCCTAGAGTTCAAGAAATGTTTTGGACTCTAGGAAAGGAATTTTTCGGAAGGAGAAATGGTGCAGTACCAGTATTTACAACTATCACTAGTCTTCAAATTCAGTTCTAACAATCTTTGTAGCTCTTACAAAGATTATATACTTTTTTCATAGTAGCATTCTAAAATTTATCAGCATTACATAGTCTTTAAACACCATGATTTTTTTTCCTTCCTCTTTATAAACAAAAGCAACAAATTTGAGTTGATATATAACAGAATAGGATGATTATATATCATTGTCTAAAGAACAACAATGAATTAGGAGTTGATATATAGCAGAACAGGATAATTACAGATCATCGTATAAAGAATTACAATGAATTAGGAGTTGATATGTAATAGAATAGGATGGTTACAAATCAATCCTTCGTCACAGTGTTTATGTTAAGTGAATATTAACGGAAATTTTATGTTCTTCAATATGAAATCAAATGCTAGGTAGAAACTAGAAACCATACATTAAGAAACGACTATTTGAGATTAAAGAATATGATTCCATCTTGATTTCCTACTTCAGTATGCCAAACACTATATAACAACTATGAGATTATGAGATTAAAGAAGATGAGCAATGTCAAAAAGTTTATCTACCCAAAGCTCCAATTTACATGCGACTTGAGAACTCTAAGAAACAAAGGTGATGAAAATAGTGGCACGACGAGAAACAGCAGATTTGAAGCTAAGGGAATAAACTTGCTCCAATGGTGGAACAAACAAGGAGTTGAGAGAACTGAGTAAAAACTTTGACCCTAACAATTTCAATGGCGAAAGAATGGTGTTAAAACCCTAACAGCCTTCAACCCAATTCTCGATTTGGTGACCAGTGGAACAGAGAATTAAGAGAAGAGACTTATGGTTCAATGGTGGAATAGAACTCTATTTGATTGTTCTACCTTGCAATGTTCTCTCCCAACCCTCTTCCCTCACTTAAGGATGCAAATGGATCGGATCGGATCGGATTCGAATTAGGATATATTTGAATATGATCTGACACCGTTTAGGTCGGATCCGATTAGAACTGATAGGACTCGATCTGAATTCGAATCAGATTCGAATGGTGGAATAGAACTCTATTTGATTGTTCTAGCTTGTAGTGTTCTCTCCAACCCTCTCCCCTCCCTCTTCCCCTCACTTAAGGATGCAACGGATCAGATTGGATTCGAATCAGGGTATATTTGAATCCAAGCCGACAATATTCATGTCGGATCCTACTCGATCAGATCTAATAGGACTCAATCTGAATTTGAATCCTATCGGATCTTTGGATCTGATTTGATCCGACTTGTTTTCTTTAAAAATTAATAAATTATTAAAAGAAAAAAATAAAACATACCAATTTAAATAAATAAAAAAGAAAAAATACAAGTACTTTTTAATTATTTTCATCATATATGCACATGTTTTTTATAAAAAATAAATAATATAACAAATTTATAAAAATACAATATAAATATTATATTTATAAATAAATAAATAACATATATATGTATAAATATATAATACATTGGATCGGATTTTCTCAAATCGGATAAGGGGGTGAATCAGGTTCGATCCGATCCAAAGATCTGAGCAGAGGTGATCCAAATTCGACCAAATAAGATCAGATCAGATCATGATCTGATCGATTTGCACCCCTACCCTTACTTGACACATATGACCCACTGCTGTAATGGGTGGGTTTTGAAGTAGTTGAGTGAGATGCTTTAAATAATGGCTTGTTCTTGCGCTTTTGTATGTTTGTTGAAGTTGCAGGAACAAAACAATGTAGCTATTTGGGGATGTTTTAACTTCACGAGCGTCTCACCAGTTTTTATGTTTCTATGTTCAAGGGTATAAGAGTTCTAACTCATAGGTTTATGCTCACTTTGTTGGTTTATTATCGAACATCAGCCTATGTGGAGTCACCAGTGACTTGGGGAATACTTTGGAAGGAGTAAGTAGGAATGGCAACAGGCGGGTTCGGGGTGGGGATCATATTCCCCATTCCTACCTTTGATTCTGAAATTAATCCCCATTCTCGTCATCGATTCCTGTCGGGATAAAATTTGTCCTCCATCCCCGATCCCCGATGGGGAAGGTTCCCACAGGGATCTGAATCCCCGAAAGTTTTTAGATAATAGTATTTTTTTTTAAAAACAAATTTACTTGAAATAAGTGAAAAATTAAAATTATAACTAATGCTTTAAATATGTTTTGATATATATATATATATATATATATATATATATATATATATTTTATAAATAGCATTTAAATATATATAAATATATAATCGAGGTCGAGGCGGGCGGGAACCTCAATCCGCCGGGCGGGAATCTCAATCCCAAATCCTATTAATCCCCATCCCCGTCCCGCCAAAACAACCCCCATCCCCAATCCCATCGGGTCGGGAAAATTTGGTCCCCATCAGGGATGGGCAAAATTGCCATCCTTAAGAGTAAGGTTTAGCTGAACAGTTAAATACATGGAGCCCATATCTTTATAGTAGAGCCCATGAATTTATTATTGATGTAAAACCTCGTCATTGATTCTGCAGCAGCGGCTGAACAGTTAAAGCATTCAGCTAATCTGAATTCCTTTGGAAGCCCAACCATGGGTTTTAGTGGCCTCTTACCGTTGTTGTGTTCATTGTTTCGAGTAAACCTATATCTCTTATTTGGGTGAGGAAGAAATCATTCGAGGGTCAGGTATAACCCTTACAACCTAACCCATAAGGGGGTAGGTGGATGATAAATAGGGTTTTTGCAAAATAAAATAGATAAATATTTATGAGGTGGGATAGAGTATAATTTTCACAAATATTCCCACTGATGGAATGGGTGGGTTTTGAAGTAGTTGAGTGAGACGCTTTAAATAATGGCTTGTTCTTGTGCTTTTTGTATATTTGTTGAAGTTGAAGGAGTAAAACAATGTAGCTATTTGGGGAAGTTTTAACTTCACGAGAGTCTCACCAGTTTTTATGTATCTATGTTGAAGGGTATAAGAGTTTTAACTCATTGGTTTATGCTCATTTTGTTGGTTTATTATCCAAGTCACCAGTGATTAGGAAATACTTTGAAAGGAGTAAGGTTTAGTTGAACACTTTAACCGTTTAAATACATGGGGCGCATATCTTTATAGTGGGGCCATCAATTTATTAGTGACAATCGGTTCCACGGACGGTTGAACAGTTAAAGAGTTAGGCTAATCCAATTCCTTTGGAAGCCCAACCATGGGGTTTTAGTGCCTCTTACCGTTGTTGTGTTCATTGTTTCGAGTAAACTATCTCTTATTCGGGTGAGGAAGAAAGCATTCGACGGTTGGGTAATCCTTACAACACCCATAAGGGGGTAGGTGGATGATAAATAGGGTTTTTGCAAAATAAAATAAATAAATATTTATGAGGTGGGATAAACTATAATTTTCACTCTAAGTTATTAAATATTGGTGGTTTTATTTTGGTCAGGTTTGATCAAATCAATCTGGATTGGTCCAGTTTCATTGAATCAATTTTGATCCTAAATATTTAAATCCATTTAATTCCACTAAAATAATATAAATTAATACAAAATAGAAAATAGCTAATAAAGTTAGTAAAGATTATTAGTTTGATTAATTTATAATAGAAGATAATAAAAATAATATAAACTTGTCTGGAAAAATGATAGGGAATGAGAGTGTTACTGGGTTTTAATGGATCCATTTTGATAATATCTAATCTCATCCTACAATATATGGTGATGTTTGGCATAGGCCAATTTTCCAAAAATCAGTGACATGTCAAAGTCACATGGGATAAAGAAGAAATGGTGTGATTTTCAACCTGTTTGGTTAGTCGATTTTCATGATTTTTAAGAAATCAGTAGAAAAAAGATTCTTGAAATCGGCCCATCTTGAGGGATCACCATTTTTGGTGATTCCGATTTTTGAAGAATGGCATGGCATCCAATATGTCTCCAAGAAAAGAATGATTCCAAGGAAAAAGAATCACCCTTGTACCAAATAAACTGCTTACATGACATATATGATACCAAACAACAATTTTTGGATAATCGGCAAGGAGGAATCATCATGGATGCCAAACATCACCGTAATGGTCCACTTAATACTGGTCCAATCCAACTTTTTGGATTGGATTCCGATTGGACCCAACCCAAGCCCAGTCAGGAAGGCGGTTTGAAATTTGCATCAGTTTCTTGGGATGTAAAATTTTCACTACAAATGAATACAAATAAGATTAAAAACGTGTAAATTTTGCGTCTGGGTTAGGATTTGGGCTGCAGACAAATGGAGTCAAAGAGTTGGATATATAATGATTCTATTCTTTGTTACATTTTCATACCTTACTTGGTCATTAACAACCTCTCTCAATCTCACTGAACTAGAAGTTAACAAAAGCACAACGTTTCCTGATTTCACCTTCTGTTCCTGTAATAACTCCAATGTTACCCAAGTTGATCATAGCTTCAGCAAAATCTTTCAAGAAAGTAGACGACACAGCAGAAGCAGCCTGGCTGATAACATAATCTCTGGTCTCATTATCATCAAGAAGAGCAGCATCAGATTGGAAGATTCCCCTTCCTTCTGCTACAACCTTGTAATAATCTTTGTTGAAAGTTTTGAAACTTCCCGGATCCAATTCTACCACTGTAGTCACATCTCCTCGCTTACATTTCTTCTTCAACTTAATCGCATATTTAGGATCCAGTGAAGGGTCTGTATCACCCCTACCACTGAAATTGTACAAGCGATCACTAAAAATAGAGCAGTGAGAACGCCCAATTGTGTGCGCACCTGAATGATGCAATCAAGGGGAGATCAAGTGAGCATACAGCCCTAAAATTCTAGTTAAGAGTTGAGAGCTTTCCAAGCTTCTATACCTGAAAGGACAACGAGGTCTTTTGTGCTTAGACCTTTACTCTTAAATGATGTCTTTAGTCTTGTGATGTTTGAAGATGGAGGTGGTAGATTTTCTGTGATCTCTGAGTCTATGGACACTCTTCCATCTCTTCTTCCTGTGGGAACTTCCCAAAACGGACCCTTCAACTGAAATTAAAGTAATCTTCTAATTACTTACACCAGGCCTTCACTGATAAATCAGTAATTTACAGAGACAAGCTTGAAGATGCAGGACACTTGAATGGTCGTCTATATGTATCCACCTTTTATTACATACTGCCTTATCAAAGCAACATTGGTCTACCAAAGCTTCAATAATGTTATTTTAATATTGAACTTGCTTACAAGAAGCAATTTATTCTGATTACATGACAAGGATTTTAGGTTCAGATCAATGTTATAAGAGATGGCCCGAACCGGACGGTTGGACTGTGAAGATCAAATGAACAGATGAACCTTCCGGTTAACCGTAAAACCAAGACCTAACTTGGAGATAAATCCAATTGTGGACTATACAAAGAAGACCCTGTGAAAATCTAATACAAAGTGAGATGTAGTCTGTTCAAAGAGGAATATTTTTTCTTATTTTTTATGTAAATTACGGGTATCCACTGTACTTAGGAGGTGTGTCACTTAGGGGTGTTGTTTTTCCGGATTTTAAGAGGTGTGATACTTGGGGGTTTTGTTTTTTGGGATTTTAAGAGGGGGAAAGTTGATCAAATTAGCAAACTATGACCATTCAATTAATTCCAACCATCCAAATGATTTTAAATAATCTAAAAACTATTCAGATATTAAAAGTAAGGATTCGACTATGATGACGTTGAGACATAATATCGAAAAAAAATTTATAACCAAATCAACGGGCATCATCATGTAACCAATGAGGTGGATTTTTGTCAAATGAAAAAAAAAGAAAAATCAAGGGATTGATTGATAAAGACTTTCCGGGGTATCATGTCTTTCGGTCATTAAAAAACACAATAGTTTATATATTTAATACTTGATAATGAATGAAATTTTAGAATGCAGGTGTGTTAATTAATGCCATGCATTTTTTGTCATGTCACATTCGTTTTGACCAGTGTTTTTAAAACCGGACTAGAAAATGCAGGAATCGGTCACTTGACCAGTTCTGTTTTACTTCATAACAGTTTTTTTTTTTTTGCCAAAAATGGTTGATTTGATTAGAAAATTATTGATTCGGGTGATTGAATTATTGATTCAGACAATGGTTTTTAGTCATTTTTTCATCTGTTCGGATTGGACAGTTAGACCATTCAACCTAAGAACCGAACCCAAAACAGATACTCTAGTCCGATTTTTAAAACCTTAATTTTGACTGAATTTTGGTTGTATCGATTTCTTTATTCTTGATGTTGAATTATTCACAAACGTACTGACGACAATCCGTTGTTAACCTGGATGGCTGAACCCAGACACCTAACTGGGCAGCCGAATTGGAAAATTGAGTCTACTACCTGAGAGGATGCTTCTAGATATGACTCTGTGGAAGACTCAAAATGAAGGGCTGAGCTGAAGTTTCAGTTAAACAGATTCAGATGCTTTGAAGCGGACAGCCCTTCAAATGGCTGACTAACAGCCAATTGGGCCTCTCCGGGTAGGCTGTCTATACATATATGTTGGCCCACCTCGGAAGAGTCTGGATATGCTCTTCGAGATCGGCTTCCATCAGGACGAACATGTGCCCACACTGTTTTAACAGTCATTTACAACCTTGCATTGAGAATATCTTTCCATGAAATAAATCATGTAAGTATAAAGATATTTTTAATGCAAAGCAGTAAAGGCTGTTTGAATGGACTTTGCCTGGACTGAAGCCGAACTCATGCCTCCTCACACCAACCTTACAACTTGTTCCAACCTCAATTGTGAACATCTCCTGTATTATTTATTTATGTGTTTTGGGAGATATTCTCAATACATGGTGGGATTTATATTCTTCACAGAACGCACTTTACAGCATATCCCACCATGTATTAGGAACATATCCCTATCTTGTATGTGAGGTTAGTGTGAGTGTGAGAAGAGCTGTATATGTGAGGAACAGATCTGGACTCCTCTCCGGTACAGAGTGTAAAACCAGAACAACAGTGGGCTTCATTTGATGTACGTATACCCATGCATATCCATGGTGTCAAAGCATCATCTGTACTCAGACAGGTCTGACCAACTCAACTCGTATGGCTGATAAATATTTGCCACACAAAAGACTCCAAAGCAATCCCAAAGGCTCAGTTTGGAAGGAGTACAAATACAAATATATATATATATATATATAGTATAAATACAAACAAAATAATACAAAATACAAGATTTGCACTCTACATATTTGTATTTGTACTCCCTTCCAAATGGAGCCTAATGTATAAAGAGACTATTATTCATTAATTAGTTGTTACCATGAAAACAGCATCTCTAACTACCAAGGCCAGGATATCTGCACAAGAGACGACTCCAGGACATGCCTCTTCCACTGCAGCTTTCACAGCGTCAATGACATGGAACCCTCTCAGGCTTTGGTTGGGACCCGAGGCTTTCTCTGTTTCATTGTTTTCAGTAGAATCCAACAGCACTGAACCATCACATCCCTGCAAATAACACCTACTGCTTATAATAAAGTTATAACCAAAGAAGAAGAAGACTAATCAAGCTAGTACTGATGGTATATGGTATGCTTGATCATGTACCTACCCTAACAAAGCAGTCATGAAACTGCACCCTTAGTAGAGGAGCTGCAAGAGAAGGGTCTTCTAAGATGTAAGGAGTGGTCGTATTTCTGATAATAGCCTCCGCTGGAGGGCATGTCTTCCTGTAGAAACCTACTTGCAGGCTCTGTCCATCTACTGCAAGCTCTGAGAGGACAACCACCATAAACAACTGTTGAAGGAACACTTGGAAAAGCCTCAGGGTAGCCATGGTTGCCCCTCAATCTTATTGATGAGCATACCTCAACTTTGTCAACTTGGATTTAAAGCTTTGTGCTTGGAAATTGAAGTTAAGTGATTGAGGAAGAAATTTCATATATATTTTAATACTTGTTATTGCAATATGATCATGTGGGTATATAATATCTAATCCTAATTGAAGAGTCAAAAGGACCAAAACAGAAGACGTATAGAGCCAAACAACCCAAAAGATTAGATAAATTAAACCATGCGTTTAAGCAGTTCAGACTTAGCATAGGAAATTCTTTTTTTGACTTAGAATGAAAGAATGTGAAATAAACTTTTACATTCAATTTCCACCCAACAACTCCTAAAATGGCTTAATTTACAAAAATCTTTTGTTTTGTTTTCCTTCACTTTTGTACTTTTTTTGTAAAATTAAGAATATATATTTTCATATTTATTTTATTTAACTAACCATCCATTTTTGGGTTTTGGATAACATATATATATAATTTTAAAAGACAAAGGTCCATCCCTAATAACTGAGAAAAAAAACATAAATAAGCATTTTTTTTTGTACATAACTAATAAAATAGTGAAAACAAAATTAAGATTTGTACCAGATTTTTTTTTTTTTACGCCTGATGAAAAATGAGATTTGTACCAGATTTAGGAGTTAGTAGGTATAACTTTGGAAATGAGGAAAATTTGTGCAAAGAATTTTCTGCAGTATACATCCTTAATTGTCATAGGAAACAATCAAACAAATACCATACCTTTTTTGGTAATTTTCCCATAGCCTAAAGGAGCAATCGATAAAGGTTTGAACAGAAAGAAAAGAAGCATAAGTAATTAACCATATAAATCCAACTATTTCTGGCAGTGATTATTGAAGACCTCCAAATTCAAGATTCTTGAATTTGGAACATTTGGAAGTGACAGGTGTTGGAAAATTGGGTTTAAAACTTTTTTTTTTTCAGTTGGTAGTGGGAGTACAACTTGAAAGAAAAGGATAGATGAGTTGTAGTGAGATAGGGAAGGTGGAAAATGAGGGAATGGTGAGGTGATCTAAGAAGGAGAAAGAGGCAAACCAGAAGTTGTGGGGACTTTGCATTCAGGCTTCGCAGTTTGGGAATAAAAATATTTTTATTTTAAAAATAGTCAATACATAACCAAAATTTGGCTTGCGCCTGGAATATTTAAGTCTTTCTCTTGGGCTGTGTTTGGTTATATTACAAAGTAAGAGAGAAACAGAAAGTTGAGAAATGTTTTTATCTGTTAACAAATATTGTGAAATTGCTTAAAAACTCTCTCAAATTTCTGTTTCATTCTTATTTTGTATCAAACCAAACATAGCCTTAATTAGGGGTGAGCAAATGGGTAGGTCCTACCCATAACTGAAGGGAACTGATCTTGAATCGGCCTTGAACTGACCCTACCTAATCGGCCTTGAATCGGCCTTTGAACCGACCCCACCTAGGTCGGTTATTCCTCCAGGGTTAAGGGATTTATCCTATTCGAACCAACCTGATGAACTGGTCTCGGTTGACATTGATAGAATTGGCCTTGGAACCAAATTTGTCTTGAAATAAACCCCAAAATAATTTTAATGATGTAAAGATTTGAATCTATGCACTCATATTTACAAAAGCCATGGCCTCACTTGACCAATATAAAAGGTGATATTTACAAATTTAAATTATAATCACAAATTTTGAACCATATACTAATATATTATAACAATCTATATATTAAATTACTCAAATTAATCAACAAAGACAATGTAGATATTTGATTGGCATAAGAAAACAAAGGGCGGTTATTTTTTTTTCTTTGCAAAAGTATCTAAAAAATAAATAAAATAAATAAAAATGAATGGAAGGTTACATTCGGTGGAAGAGGCCCACTAATTTCTTCTAAAAAAATTCTTTATTTTCTTTCTTTCTAATCAAACATCTTAAAGAAAATAAAAAATTTCTTTCATTTTCTTTGGCCTCTTTCACTTTCACATATTCTCTTGGCAACCAAAATGGAATGAGCCAGCAGGCAGGTGAACCAGTTTGACCAGTGATTTAACCCAGGTTCTATATTGGTAGTTTCTTACAAATTTGGCTCAATTCTGCTTCAGATATCTGATCCACATGCTCCACATATCATCCAAATTACTCTCTCTCTCTCTTTTATGCAACTGCTGGGCCTGGTGGGTAGGTTCCAAATCTTCCGTCTTATTACCAACCGGGTAACCAGTTTTCAATGAGTTGGTTTGTGAGAGAACATTAGATTTCTTTGTTCATAGCCAATTAGTTATGAACAAAGAAGTCTCTGGACACTTGGATTTAAATGTAATTTAAGAAATAAAATAAACAAATAAATAATAGCCACCAACTTGGAAGGAAAAGTTATCAGTTCAAGTTTCAACTTGGAAGTGGGTCAAATGAACTTGAAAATAACCTCTCAACAACAACAAACAAAATTGAAATTGACTTTGAATGATAATGACTTTGTACAGTGCAAATACATACAAAATAATACAGAATATAAAGTTTTGCACTCTGCATATTTGCATTTGTTTTCCTTCCAAAATGAGCCTTAAGGTTGAAGGCTTACTTACGTGTGGACCTAACAAGATGGTTAGTTGAATTGTGATTACTGGTGGGTTGCACAAGAAGTAATAATCTAAGACATAATATAATGGCATTGACGAATTCAATGTTTCAGATTTTCAGTTTAGATCTCTCTCTCTTGTAAAAAGGAAATTTTTTTCAACCAATCGTTAGGTGAAACCTGATAGGGATTTGGACTCAAACTAATTTTGTTCTAGTGACACATAATATCTATATTAGAGATAGCCACTATATCTAATTCTTCAAGAGAATATAGCCAAAGAAGTGGAAAACCAATATGTTAGTGTCGACTGTATAAGGGTAGTTCAGCTTTTTTATTGAGGTGTAATACTTAAGTTAAATGGTGTGTCCCATACTTATGTGGGGGTATAACAGACCTTTTGTTTTTAATATAGAAAACTATAAATATAACCATGCCGACTAGGAAGCTCTCCAATTGATGATACGAAGGGGACTGTTTCAGGTGGTGCAGTGGGTAGTCGAGTGCAGGTTGGTTTTTTGTTGAACAAATAGGTGGGCATGGTGGGTGTTTCAATTGGATTTGAGTGGTTGGTGAGTTCCTATGTTTATGGTGTGTACTTAGGTAGTTCTGTGGTGCTAAAAGTTAAGAATATCAATGACTATCGTTGCTGAAAACTGTGATTGTAGGTGTTTTCAGCAATAACTTGTCACTAGTGTGCAGCGTGGTGTGAAGGGAACTAGAAATGTGATATACATGTGAGAAAGAAAAAAAAAAAAAATCAGTCGTGGGAAACAATTGTGAATACAAGTCTAGTGCTATGGTTCCCACCAATTACCTGAATGTTCAAATGACTTTTATCAAATTGAATGGGGAGAATTATATGTCGTGTGAGAAATTTGTAGAGGTCTTTCTGAGAGATAAGAAGAAGGTGAAGCATGTAAGAGAAGAAAAACCCCCTATTAATTCTCAATAGTATAATGACTAGGAACAAGAAGATGCATAGATTATGACTTGGTTATGGATAGTATGGAACCCAAGATTAGTGTGAATTTTATGTTATTAGATACAGCCAATGAGATATGGGACCATGCCAAGAAACTGTACTCTAGACAAGACAATACTATTAAAGTGTATTAGCTTTATCAAGAGTATTTTAATCTACAATAAGGCAATCAGAGTCTTAAGGAATACTATGCTAGAATGAGGAATCTTTGTAATGAGTTGAATGTGTACCATCCCCTCACTTTTGATGTTAAGATTCAGTAACAACAAAAAGAGCAACTAGATGTAACCAGATTTTTAGTAAGACTAAAACCTGAATATGAACCAATGCAAGCATATATACTAGGTGGGTCAACTCTTCCTTCTCTAGAAGAAGTGTTTTCCCGACTTCAGAGGATTTCTATTAGACCTATAGAGAGTTCTAATATCTTTGACATGCTTGCCTTTGTAGTGATGAGAGGGGGGAGGTCGTAGAGTTAAAGGTAGAGCTCGAGGAGTTCAACCTAGTTATAGTAATGGTAGTGGACCCATGTATAGTTGTAGTGGTGGTGTGGTGAACCCATGTATAGTCATGGTGGTGGATGTATTGGAGGTCAAGATTTAGAGGGAGTTCATGGCAAAGGACGTAGTAATGGTCCAAAAAGGTGCACACATTGTGGTATGGAAGGACACACCATCAACTTTTGTTATGATTTGCATAGCTCACCTTCAACCTAGGCTAATCATGTAGGGGCCAGTTATGGTAGTTCTAAACAGGATATTCAAAAAGTTGATCAAATGCCTTCTACATCTATGGATGTCTTTGTGAAGGAGATAGTGAGTGTTCCACGTGATGAATATGAGCAGCTTATTCAAGTCACATCTCAACAGAATACAGCTATCCTCGCACATTTACGTATGGTTTGTTTGGCATCCAAACCCACCCATTAGATTATCAACTCTGGAGTTTTTTATCACATGACTAGGACTCCAAATGTGTTTTCATTCCTATTGAGGATCCCATCCCACTTGTTCTAGTTGTGACTAAGTCTTTGTCTCCAATACAACTTCCTATTGAACGACCATCCATCCTCCAAGTGTATACGCATCAACGACATGTACCAACTCATCCTCCAACCTCTTCACTATCGATAGATCTGGTAGTTGTTTCCACACCAACCCCACCACCTACCTTTGACCTTGATCTCCTTATTGCCTTGCAAAAAGGTAAACACAATTGCACATTTCATTCTATTTCAAACTATGTTTCTGTATCTCATATTTTTGCTTTTCATCACCATGTTGTCTTCTATTTCTGTACCTAAGGATGTCTAGGAAGCTATTGCCTCTCTAAGGTGGCATCATGCAATAGAAGAAAAACTCTTAGCTTTGGATCATAATCATATGTGGGATCTCACTACACTCTCCTTTGGTAAGCATGTTGTAGGTTGTAAGTGGGTATACACTATTAAGTATTTTTCTGATGGTAGTGTAAAGCAGTTGAAAATTCGACTGGT